TCCTCGCCTCCGACTGTGGCGTCGCTACTCGTTGCCACTCACAGCGTTGTCCCTCGTCTCCGACGAGGTCCTGGCTTGGTCTCGTTGTCGACATCGAAACTCATTGTCGCTCGACGACTTCCTTCTTCCTTCGCAGGCAAAATCGGCTTATACACCTAAAAAATCAATCAACTTACATATAATCCGCTCGTGAATTGGATTGAGATGTACACAATGTAGTCCCGCGTAAAAATTCCGCAGGAAAAAAACCTTGCTCCACGCAACTTCCATGGATTATTTATGGAAAAACTTACACTCACCCATTGAAAACATGTCGTGGGGATGACCGCCTCCTGAGACTGGCACGTGTCCTACCCCATGTCCTTATCTTTATCTCGAAACGTCTTAGAGCCGCTAGTCTTCTTCCCCGCGAGTCAATCCCCTTTGTGCCACTCTCAACTCCACAAAGTAGCACAATGTAGCACACCTTCTTCAATCCCACAAGCCGTTGTCGCAAGCAGGGGCTTCCCCGCGCAAGCCAAGGATGCATCGTCCGGGATATGTTGCTCCAAGGAGAGACGATGTACTACAAGTCAACAATGATATTGCAAGCTAGTGATGCTTAGCGCAAGGGAATCATTGCAACCTAACTGATGTTCTCTGGGGACGAAAGCAACATCCTGTTGCTACGATGACGTTGCACGACAATGGCAACCATGATGGTGGCAATACAAGCAAAACCTTCGGGCACAACGTGGACCATGTTACAGACCTCTTTTTTCAATATGGCTCGTGTTGTGAAGCACTCGTGCAAATCTTGAAGTGCAATATGACCCATATGTTGCAAAACTCCGAGCGCAACATGACCCATGTTGCAAACCTCGTGAGCTGGATCAGAAGCTATCCCGCGATGGATCCAACGGCTCGCGACTCGGCTGATCATTTGAAAAGATCAGCGATCGACGCGTAGCGTTGACGCCTTGCCTGGCGGGGTATTAGGTGACATTGAGCCGACGTGTAGCGTCAACGCCCTACATGTTGATGGGGTATAAGGTGACAACGACAGATGGCAGTGATAAGGCGGCCAAGGAGGTGTTTAAGTGTCCACGAAGAATCCCTCAAAAAAAAGTGTCCACGAAGAAGCAATATCAAGTAGAAACACTAGTGCAAAAGGATGGGCTAGTTCATCGCTCTTTGACATGACGCGTGATACTTGCGTCGCAAGCAAAGGGCTCAGAGTTGTTCAGACTTCCGAGTGTATACAACCATACGTACCCTGCAACATTAGGCGTCATGTGTAGCGTGTTATCACTAATAGAGTGTAGTTTAAATGGTTAGATTCCTTGTGGTGCAATCAACATACCACGGTTCAGGCCCTAGACTTGGCATTGGCGCTCACATTTTTCTGAATTTATTTCAAGCTTTCCGACGATGTTCGTTCAGTGCGAGGAGACCTTTCGTCGACTATGAGGCGCCTATGATGACTCCATCAATCTTTTTTTTGAATTGTTTGAATTGCTTATCACATGTGTCACATGGTGACTTCGTCAATCTTAAGATGTTGTGTCAGCAAAGCATCGAGGTACTCATAAGGAATATGATGTGCGTGTGTGTGCATTCATAGAGATGAGTTATTTTTTAGAAAAGGAGGATGACCCCCGGCCTCTGCATCTGGACGATGCATACGGCCACTTTATTAATTATTCTCACAAGACCTTACAAAGTAATACAACAGTAAGACTAAAGCCGCCGTCTAAGCCACTCTATCCAGTTGATGAAGGGGCGCAGATAGTCTGGGCCTAATACCAAACACGCATCGTAGCCAAACCTAACATCTAAGACCTGAGATCCCATCTAGGACGCCTGCCGGGCATGGATCTCGCCGGTCCGGCGTGCACTCAGAGGCCGCCACCACCAACTTCTACCGCTCCATCTTCACAACTGTACTAATGCATCAACCTTGCTCGGTCCAGCTATCGTCGACGCCATCACGGCGCCCAACGGCACCTCCTCCCTGCGTGCAAACATCTGAGGACGTCCCGGTCGCCACTGATACACCTCAGCACCATGCTGTCAAGTACCACCAGCCGACACGGCTTGAAGTCTTTGGAAGATCTGTCGTGCGTAGCACCTGCCGACCAGGCATGACAAAGCGTAGCACCTGTCGGTCAGGCATGACTTGACATATCCATCGAAGCTCCGTGTAAGATGACGCCGCTCCACCTCCAGCCTTTCTAAACGGGACGGGAGCACCCCACGAAGACACGGCGAAGAGTTGGGCACCACAATCACCACGAGAGCCGGACCAGCCGACCGCCATGGCGAAACGACACCACTAAAGAGAACCGCCGCCATCAGGAACGCCAAGAACGCGCTGCAGCTGTCCCACCTCCCCGCGGACCCAAAGCGGCACCTTCAAGAGGGTGACGGAGCCGGGCACCGCCGCCGCCCAACCAAAGTTGTGAGTTTTCACCCGGGTGTAGGAGGAGGACGAGGGGGAGGGAGCTGGATCTCAAAGCCGCCTTCAAGAAGGAAAACAGCGCCTGGGTCGCTGTCGGCGTCGTGGCCGCCGCAGCCGGCCAAGAAATTACTTCGATCCAGATTCCCAAGCCCACATCCGCGCAGTCCGCCACCGGATCCGGCCGGATTGACGAGGAGGAAGCAGCAACACGGGGGCATCGTCTTCAAATCTGGGGAAGGAGAGCAGCAGGGGATCCCTCCACGTGGCGCCCGCATCCACCGCCAACTCGCCGCCCGCGCGGCCGAGGAGACGCGGTCCACAACTCCGGCGAGCGCCGCCCGCCTACCGGACGACGCCGCCCTCACCAGCAGAGGCCGCCGCCTCAAACCCGAGGCCCGGGCCGGACGGATCTGGCGGATCCGATCCATGCGCCTGGCCGAGCGCGAGAAGCTCCCCGCCGCCACCTTCCTTGGCTGCGCCCAGGGCCTGCCCGACGCTTAGCCTCTGGCAGCGGCGAGGACAGGAGGACCGTGGTGACGACGAGGGGCGGCGGCGCGAGATCGCCCCCGTGTCGCCCTAGCGGGGCGACGCGGGGGTACGGGGGTACGGGGGTCTCAGAGTTCTACGTCTTCATAGAGATGAGTGCATATGTGTGTGAAAGCATCTGTGATTGACCGTGTTAAAAAAATGTGTACCATGTCGTCATAGTTATCAGAATCATTTGTGTTAATAAGCGGTCCGCTTCTCTCAGCTTAAATCATGGTGAGTTATATGTTGACAAAGGATAGACTTCAAACCTATCCTGGTAGCACACATTATATTATTTTTCTAGTTTGATTAGCCGGCCGAACAAAATGTAGTTGCTTATTTTGGTAATATTTTTTAATATGTTAATTTGTCTATGTGGCATTTTTTTCCTGTTACTACCTTTTGTTAGATCAACATATCGGCTAACTGGTACATATAATTTTTAGCACTAAACTTGTCTTCACACCTTCGTACTCTAGATTTTAGGTTGTTCACCGCTTAGCTTCGGCGGC